TTTTTTCTTAAAATGATAATGAGATAATTGTTTCATAATCCATTATAAATTAATAACATATTTTACAATGATTGATGGAGGATGAAACTACTTCAATATTAGAGTCATCCCACCATTAGCAGAAGGTACAATTCAGCCCCTGTACTTGTAATGTTGTGCAAGTCAGCCCCTCTATTTCATGTTATCCGCAAAACAACCCTTTTAATGAGAATTACATCATCCCACCGTTAGATCCATCCATTTCCCAATAAAGCCTGGTGAGTTAGCATTGATTAAGAGCTGACTGGGCGTTGATGTGGACCATTTTTACTCCACCTAGGTTTACTACTCAATCTTGGCAAGGTATGTTCTTACTAAAATAACCCTTACCAAAACACACAAAATTGGGGATCTAGGGTTTCAGTCTCAATCTCACCCCTGATTGCAACTTTACCTTCTATTTTGATTTGCTTCGCTTCTGCTCATTTTAATTCCTTCCTCTACTCATTTCAATTCCTTTCTGATTTCTTTCCCTCTATTTGATTTGCTTTTGCTCATTTCAATTCCTTTTGAACTTGATTTCTTTCCCTCTATTCATAAAGATGTCATCTTCAACCTTATTCCAGTCTATTTCTTCTCCCTTATCAATTGAAGAATGGGGAAGCATGGACATCACATATGAAGGAAAGCAGAGGTATTGTGATTGTGGTCTCAAATGTCCTTGTTAAACTACCTAAATAGAGGGTTAAGGCTAGACGAAGGTTTTATGGTTGCCCAAATTGGTTTTTGAAGAAAACAAGGTATGTATATCTATTCCATTTTTGGTTTTGTTTGAATCAATGGCTTTGCATTTTCTATGAGGCTGAGCGTAGGCTTAGTTCTGTGATATCAGTGATTTTCCCTTTTTCGTTAGGCTTGGTTTTGTGATATCAATGGTTTCCCCCCTTTTGGTGGGGTGAATAAAAGGTAAAAAAAAAGGCCGGGAACCAAAGGAAAAAAGAAAGGGAAAGTTTGGGAATTCCTTGAAAGGCAAGAAAAAGGGGAAAAGAAAAAGGCCCAAGAAAGTAATTTTGCTTTAAGTGAAGAGAAAAAGTCCTTGATGAATGAAAGGGACAATCTCTTGAAGGAAATAACCCAGTTAAGGGGAGAGTTATGTTATGGCCAAACAATTGAAAAGGTTGTGTTGTGTTTCCTGATACTATCTTACAATTGATTGAGATCAAGGGTGCTCTCCATGAATTAAGCAATAAAGTCTCATCATTGCAGGAGAATTTGCAAGGGAGTTTAGCAAATACTGTCCATTGTGGCTTGTTGAGAGAAAGCCTCTTGGCTTTTGTGATTGCAATGTTAGTTGTATTTGTGATGAAGGATTAGGTTAACTGAATACAATGTCTTTTGTTCCTAGGTAGCTTACGGGTAGGGAGAGCATTTTGTACGTTGTGTGTGATTTTGTGATATCAAAACTTTGCCTAAAGTTGGTACTGTATGCATTTTGGTAATTAGCCATGATATAAAAATGCAATTTTTTGACAAATCTATCTATGTTTCCATTCATTCATAGCCAACAGAAAAATATCACTTAAAACAGGAGAGAAATAAACATAGCAAAATGTATAGTAAACCAATTTGTACTCTACTGATTTTTGGTAGTCAATTACATAGCATGTTTCCATTCAGTGATAACAAAACAAGAATTTACCACTTAAAACAAGAAACAAATAAACAAATCAAAATGTATAGTAAATCAAAATGTATAGTAAATCAATTTGCGTTCTATTGATTTTTGGCAGTCAATTACACAGCAAAATACATGTTAATCCAAAAGTAGTAAACCAATTAATAAGTTATTATACCTCTATTACATAGGCAATATACATGTTGTTAATCCAAAACACAAACTAGCCAAGCATACCTAAGCATATATACAGCTATATATAGAAGCTATACTAAAGTGAAGATAACTACATGCTACACATCACAAAAAGCAAATAAGATAAGGCAAATTAACTGCCATATATCAAAAAATCAAGTGCTCTATACAACTTTTTCTTTCCCTTTATAAGCAGATGGCCCACTTGTCCATTGCTTTGTTTTTGCAGAAGGCTGAGCATGAGTATATTACACTTCTTTAATTATTATCCCAGGCTACAAAAATTAAAATATTGGTTAGCAGATTATTTGAGTTTTCAAATAAAAAATACAAAATAATGACTCATTATTATTAAATTACCAAAACAGGATCAAATGCCAATTCAGTTAAACTTTTCTTCCCTCCCTTTGACTTTGTCTTTGAAGTAGCAACTTTCCTTTTCCCCTTTTGTGATTGTGTGACAACAATCTTCAACAAATAAGAAGAGATGCATTAGTAAATAATTAAAACATTATTAAATGCATTAGTAAATAATTAAAACATTATTAAAGGAAGGCAATTTAACTAAACTTACACTTTTTTGGGTTCCAACATGTACTGTTGTAGCTTGTTGTAGCTTCTTTAACTGTTGTTAGATCATTTGTTCTTAAAGGGTAGCCTCATTTGTTATGATTCTTCTCTTCACAAATTTTACAAGTCATGACCCTACCATGTTTGGACATTGCCTATTGGTTTTTCTCCTCCTTAACTTTCTTTGGTTCATGTTTGTCTGCTCTTTTATTTTTCTTGGGTCGTCCTGGTAATGACTTCATATCTAGTGGCAATAAAATTTTAATATTGTATTTACTCCAATGCTGTGGTATATGCTTCCTTCTTGTAAAAATCACCAACAAAGTATTCAAGATTCCAACCATTATATTTGCAGTTGCACAATAAATGTCAACATGGATTCCCAAGGTTTGTCACCCCTTACAAGTACATGTTCTATCCTTGAGATCCACCACATGAGTATAAATTGTCACTTCATCAATCACCTTACATTGTGTGTCCCCATTCCAAGTTGGTGTACAATGAATGACAAGCTTTAGGTTGGCCTCAATTTTGTCCCTAATCGTTGGAGCAATATCCCCATTCCATTTTGCTACACTTTCATGTTTTTCTTTAAGCCTCACAATGCACTGATCCATAATGGTGTTCAACATGGTTATTGGTGCCTTACACCTAGCTTGCAAAATCCATGAGTTAAATGTCTTGGCCAAATTGTTGTCAATTGAATCACACCTCAAATGACAATCAATAAAGGCCTTGTACCATTTTGTTCTATCTAAATTCATTAGATATTCATAGCCTTCTTGTGTTTTACCTCTCATGACCTGCATTTGTTCTTCCCATGCCTCTAAAAATGTTGCTCAAGCATAATTCCAGAACTGAATTTTGTAGTCATCACCCCTGGTTATTTTTGCAAAGTTATAATAAATATGTATAGCACAACACCCATGATTCGCAGATGGAAATACATGTTGTGCAATTGTACTAATTGCCTATAAAAAAGAAATATGAAAAAAATAATGTTGATTAGTCATAAAACCAAACAATCAAATGTAAATAAACATACAAAATGTGAAAAAGAGTAATTGTAACTAACCTTGTGCTCATTTGACATAATGGTGAAATTTTCACCAGAACCAACCTCTAAATCATTTCTCAAGGCCTCAAAGAATCACTCCCAATAATCAGTGCGCTCTCCTTCAACTATAGCCCATGCAACAAGGTACATTT